CTGTATATGGTTGAAGTTACTTTATTTAGTTATTCAGTTTATTAATCAAAGGTCAGCAATCTTTGGTTGTCTTTTATTTCTAGGCTTTCTTTTTTGTTTTGCTCATTTGGCTGTTTTTAGACACGCTTAAGTAAACTGTGTATTTTAAGCATCTTTTGGTTAAGTTAGCCATGCATCAACCCACTTTTAGCTATTTATTCATGTTTATGCTAATGCTAGTTCTCATATTCTAAAAGTTAACCAAATGTTTTGCACTGATTTTATTTCAGCTTCTTTTTTGTTCATTTTCAGTCACTTTACTTTGTTACTATTTTTATAGGACTTTATTTTAGTACCATGTGACTCTATTTTTGACTCTCTCTCCGAACTATATTCGGCTAACTTTTCCTTGTGTCTCTACATATTTTCCCTGCAGTATCAGATATTTGAGTCACATTTCGTCATGGGTTTTACAGTACCTGATTGTTATTCAAAAAGTGAGATCCACAGTGCTGCTAATCAACCGTTAAGGAGGTCTCCAGCTGGGATAAGTGCCTACCACATTGGTCTAATAGCTGTCCCCACCATGTGTTGATATTATGCACTAATAATTTTTATTATCTGTTGTTTGTAAGAGTCATTAGAGAACATTATGCTGGAGTTCTCCGTCTCTGCGGTGACTTGTATACAGATCTTTGATGGTTTGAGGAAAGACGATTTGAAAAAAGAAAATCTGGTTTAAAGACTTTGTTTTAGCCTTCAGTTGGACTGGGCCAGTGTTTGAGTCTAAGTGCTACGGTTCCCGCTGACAGTGCTGAAAGTTCCAGGTTGGATTTCACCTAGATGCCAAGTCCAGGTTGCATTGTGCCAGGAAGGACACCCGGTGTGCTGAGAACTGCTGTGGTGACCCCTGATAAAGGGACAAGCTGAAAGTCTGGAAGATGCCACTCAGTACAGACTCCCTGTCACGCTGATATTACAAGGACACTCAAATTGTCATTCAAAGTATTCAAGTAGTTGCTTTTGTACTGACCTGGATGTTGTGAGGGTGCGCACACTGCAGTAGTACTTTTCTGACCTTGTCAGGTTCTCTCTAAAGGCAGATCAGAGGTTGCGGGTAAAACGGTTTGTCAGGCAGATCAGAGGTTGCGGGTAAAACGCAGTAGCAGGAGTAGACCAAGGTGATTAGGTAAAGGAAGCCACTGACGAAGTGAGCAAGCAAACAGAAATAACAGCAGTCTTCTTGACTTTGTCCATCATCTGTTTGTATTTGTAATGTAAATAACCCCAAAGGTGAACTCTTTTCCTTTGACGAGAGCTTCAAGTGTCACAGGAACCTGTTTGTTACTTAGTGAATCTCCCTCTGACAGATACACATGCTCGGGTAGAGGAGGCAGAAAGCAGAGCATCATCACATGTCGTGGTAAATACAGACACTTTTCTCCTCATCTTGTCAGCTCTGTGGACTGCTGAGATTGCCTGTGACACACAGCTCCATTCACATGTTACACATAATGGCTGCAACATATGCTAATTTCCTGTTCCCCATAACCAACAGACGGTGACACGCGCTTCGAGGAATTAAGAATTCTTCTTATGAAAATCACTCCAATAGTGACTAATGTGATAAAGGGTCTCTCCATGTTGTGTATAGATTGAACCTTATTATGGGGATGGATTTAAGGCTCCTGGCTTAAAGCCCCAAAGGTGATATTTATACTGTTCTGGCTGCTGCGCCGCACGGTGTCTCACTCCTGATGGGTGATGCAGCTCCTTTTACTATTTATATCCGTGTTTTCTTTATTCTGCCTCCATCTCCCCTTTCCCCGTCTTCCTCTCTGCGTCACCGTATCGGTGCATGGAGCATCAGTGTGTGCTTAATGACAGAGGTGCGGAGGCGGCTCTGGATGGGAGCTAAAACAGAGGCTGTCCTCCCCTCGTTCTGTCCTTTTCTCCCTCTCTCCCTCTGTCAAACTCTCAGCCCCAAACAGAATAGCTGTTATTTAAAGCCATGAGCTGTGCTAGCTCATTAAAAAAACAGCCATAGGAGAGATTGATGGGGAGGAGAGAGGAAGGCAGCGAAGGGAGGGAGGTTCCCACTGATGGAAGGATGTGAGAGAAGCAGCGGGGGGGAGGAGGAGGAGGGANNNCTTTCCTCCCTCCTGTTTCCTCCACAGAATTTTCTTCTACCTCTCCTCTCTGTCTCTGTCCAGCAGAACTATATTTAGCGTTGTGCAGCTGGGTGTGTGTGCGCGTGTGTGTGTGTGTGTGTGTGTGTCGGTGTTTTGATGCAGGATGTGTGACATTGCTCATTTGTATTGCACTGCTCCTCTCCTCTCCTTTCTTCACCTCTGCTGAAGTTAAACTTCTGCAGTCACACCTTTTTTTTTTTAAAATATATAAACGACTCATTTGCTGAGTTCTGTGCTGATACCTGATTGGACAGTCGATGAAAAGATGGCATTAAGAAAGGATCCAATTCTTCTTCCTTCTCCCACATGACCCAGCAAGTCTTTCTGCGCTGCTTCTCCCACACTAGCTCTCACATGACCCAGCAAGTCTTTCTGCGCTCCGTTCATCTCCCTTCCCTTTTTCTCACCTCCCCTCTCACTGTATTTCTCCACAACACTCCGCAGCACACTTAATCCCTCTCTCAATTCCTTCTTTCCATGTCCCAGCATGACACATCCTTATACAATTATGCTGCATTAAAAATGGATTAGATTTCACCTTC